GGAGGCCGCAGCCGCGAGGAAGGAGACAAGAGGTGGGTCAGTGTGAAACCCGGTGGCGCCCGTCCGAAGGAGTGCCCGGGCGTGTGCTTACCTTCCTGCTCCCTGCGGGGCCAGAGGAGAGCTGTCAGGACTGTCCGCATGCACACGCACACACACGCACACACGCAGTGGCTGTGCCCTGAGGTGGACCCTGGCCCTGTGCCCTCACTGCCAGCCACGGGGCTAACACTGAGCCCTGAGCTGGGCATTTGGACGCAGGGTTAGCCCTGTGGCTCTGGAATCTCTGTGGATTCAAGTTCAGGAACCCAGCCTCCGGGGTCCCCTGCCTGTAGCAGGTCGGTCACCCAGCTGAACCTGGAAGACGGCATCTTGACCTCCAAGGGCCCCAAGCCTGTGCGAGGCCTGCGATCGGCAGCCGGGGCACAGGGGTGGGAATAAAGGGGGTTATCTCTCCTCATTCCCCCAAGACAGGCAGAGCCGCCCAGGCACACCCACCCTCCTGCTCCCGGGGCCGCTCCAGGGGCAGGTTGGAGGGGACAGCAGAGGACAGGTGGGAGGAAGGAGGCTCCCCCACTTACCCCTCGTACTCCTCTGCCGCCTCTTCTGTGTCAGACATGGCCTCTGCTGCCCCCCAGAAAGATTAGGACATCACCATGGAGGGCGCCCGGCTTCCTCAGCGCAGCCCCTCATCAGTCAGGGACTGCAGCTGAGTCAGAGCGCGCTGTGACCATGTCTGTGTCCCAGCTGTGACTGGTAACACAGCTGTGTGAATGTAGCCACAGGGGAACAGGCCGAGCGCCCAAAGGTACGGCCTCCTCTCCGGTCCTCAGCCCCTGGGGTCAGTCGGGAGTCCGTGGCCCACAAGCTCTGCCCCCCACTCCCTGCCTGGGCCCCAGGGAGCCGCCAAACCAGTGGCTGAGAACCGGGGAAGCTGCCCCCGGAGCCTCTCTCTCCACCCCTGCCCCGCCTCCCACCAGCTCAGAGCTGCTGGCCCTGGGGTCCAGCACATGAGGGAGCAGTGTGGAGCCTTCCCCCTGCTCCTGGGGGCACCCCAAACCCCTCCAGATAGCACGCCAGCCCCCAGAGGGTGGGGGAGAGCACTCCGACAAGGATGCTGCCAGGCCAGTGGCCAGAGACAGGACTGATGAAGGTGCAAGGACAGGCTGAGCAAGGGGACAATCGAGACCCTGGCAGAGCAGAGGTGATGATGCCCTAAAGCAACTCTACCTCGCATCCGTGCCCCCACCCTCTTCCGCAGAGATCGGGGTCACCTCTTGGGGGACCACCTCATACACAGTAGACAACAGAAAGCGTGCTGGCCATGGAGTCACAAAAAACCTAGTTTTCGCTGTGTGACTTTAGTTTAGTTACTTAACCTCTCTGGGCCTCCGCTGACCACTGTAAAATAGATGAGCTTCAAGTTCTAGTTTTGTAGAAAGTCTGAGTTCCTGAGGAGTGTAGCCCCACCCCTCCACCCTTTTCCCCAGCACTCAGCAGGGGATGGGAGTAGGGGTGGGGGGAGGCTGGGGGCAAGTTGATCATAAAATCCAGGTCAGAGGAAGAACTCAGGTAGGCAGGGGCCTGGAATGTGCTGGAGATTCCTGGGGCTGCACTCTGGGCAGCCCCTTCCCCTAATATTCTCTCCAGCTGCTCAGGAGAAGCCGAAAAATCGAAAGAGTGTCTCCGCAGGTGGAGTTTGACTCAGGGGTCCCTGCAACCCAGCCAGCTGGGCTCACGCTCCCTGGTCCTCCCAGCCCCGCTCTCGGCAAGGGGAGGGTGCTGGGTCTCGGCCTCAGGCTGCCGCCTCTGCGTCCCTGCGGAGAGACTCTGACCCCCCAGACTGGCCCTGGACAATCTCTCTGCTCTCGGGGGATCAAGAAGGACCTGCCTGGAAAGTTTCAGGGGTATGTCAGCCTGGAGGGGGCGGCGGGCAACCTTGGGGGGGGGCCCTGTTGTCAGCTCCTCGTTGTACTGGGGGCAGGCAGGGCTGACAATGGTCTAGCCCGTCCTGCTGATGAGGAACTGAGGTCCCCCAGCCGGCAGGTCCGTAGTGGCCCATCCAGAGCCACTGAGAGCCTCTGGTGTCTCCCCGAGGGTCTGGGCTGCTGCCCTTGGAGTCTGCCACCCGACCCCACCCCTCACTCCTCCTCCAAAGTGTGGCCTCCTCGCCCCGGGAATGTGGACGCCTGTGACCCCCATGGCGCTCAGAGCAGATGCAGGCCCCCATCCCTCTGCTCCCCACTGCCCACTCGAGCATCTGCCTGAGTCTCACCTGGGACAGGAGCTGCGGACGGGACAGGACACGGCGCTGCTGCCCCTGGCCAGGGACTGGGCGAGGGCCGGGGCGGGCAGGGCTTTAAGCAGTGCTCGGACTGGGCCGTGTGGGCCCAGCCTCGCAGGGGGAGGGATTGTGGGGGGCGGTGGCCATGGGGCGGGGGTGTTGGCTGCTATGATGGCAGGTGCCGGGGACGGCGCTGACGGGACATTTGCTCCTCACCATATAAGCCCATGCGGTGGTCCAGCTGCCGAGATAAGCTATTTAAAACCAGACCAGATATGCAGGGGCTGGGCGGGGGAGGGGAGCAGGCGAGTAACAGAAGCCAGCTGTCCCGCATGACAACCTCGATAAAGCAGGTGCCAGCAGCCCGAGCCGGGAGGGAGGCCGGGGACAGGGCAGAGCTGGAGGCAGGAAGCACCCCCTGGACACCGCTGAGTGCCCCGGGGGCAAAGACGTCCCCCAGGCCACCGCTGCCTCCCATGGGCTGGACAGCCTTCTCGGAAGACTGGTCTACAGGCCTCGTGAGGACATCTGCAAAGCGGGTCTTCTCCTGGACCCCAGAGCCACGTGACCAGCCGTGGGCCCGGGAGAGGGATGAACTGGACCACGGGAGGCCAGACGGAGGGTGGAGCCAACTTCCAGTCGCCAGTGACGGTTCTCCCGGGACGGGCAGCTGGCTGGCCACGTGAGGGCCTCAGAGCTCGTCCTCAAGGGCTTTCCAAGGAAGCCGTGACCTGCTGGACCTGCAGCTCTGAGACCCCTCCGCACGGGGACCGGCGTTTATGCCGTTGGCTGCCTGGAGTGTGTCTCGGCCCTGAGTCCAACGCCTGGGACACTGTGGGACTCAGTGGGTGACCAACATGAGCGGGCAGAGGAAACTGAGTCTGGCGGCAGCCAAGCTCTCTGTCCTTGGCCATTCAGAGTCCCCGAGGCCCCCGTGCAGACTCGAGGGAAGGGGCGGTGCTTGTCTGGACCCGGCTTCTCCTCCCTGCGCCCCGGCCTGACCCCTCGGCCCTCCAGATCTAGCCCTCCGCAACCCACACTCTTCTCCGTGGGCAGAGGAAGTCTCGCCCACCCTCTGCCCACTTCTCTTCTCGGCTGACCACTCCCCTGGCCTCCCCCATCCCTGCCACCTCAGGGACCATGTGCTGAAGCCACCGCTGGTGTCCCCAAGAGGCCTCCCTGGGCCGGACGGCTGCTTCCTTCTCACCCACTCTGCTCTTGGACTCCTGTCTCATTACTCAGCTAAAACTGCCTCTCTGTGGTCCCCAGGGACCTCGGGGTCCAGTGGCCTGATTCCACCCCACCCATCCCAGGCTTACCCCCTGCCGTGTGGCCCTCTACCCTACCAGCAGGACAAGCTCGGGCCAGGTGACTGCCAGCGGCATGCTGGGGTCAGGCCGAGAGGGGCGGGTGCCGGGCAGAGTCACAGAGGAACAGTGACAACCAGGCTCCCCCATACCTGCCCCCCAGGGCACCCCCGGCTTTGGGTCCCGGCCTGGGATCTCCCAGCACTTAGGCGCTGTGTTTCTTAGGCCCTCCCCTGACTTGAGCTGCTGCTTCGATGGGTCGCGCCTCCTCGTGAGCCCCACAATGCATCGAACACACCCATGCCCCGGAGAGCCCCACAGAAACCCGAACGTTCCTGCGTGACTGTGGGAGGCTGTTCCTAATGGTTCCAAGGAGGGTTGAATTCAGGGAGCTGGGAGGCGGTGCCTCAGCTGGCGTGACCATCTAGCCGCCTCCAGCAGCCACGCCGCGACACGGCAGGGCTGCTCCTGACCTTTCTCTCCGTGCTGTCTCCACCAGGGCAGAGAGGACAAAGGGACAGTGCTCGTCCAGGGCTGCGCTGGGGGAAGCGCAGGCTGACACGTGTTCACAAACTTTGGGAGGCACAGAACAGACACCCCTGGCAGGGTCCCAGGCCACGGGACAGGAAGGCTGGCCCCAGGAAGCCTCTCGGGATCTTCCTCTAAGAGGTGACGCGAGGACCGTGGTGCCTGCTGGGCAGCTTGCCGGCCGGGGGCTTTCCGGAGCCGACAACCCTCGGGGCCCCTGTGTGAGCCCGGAGTCTCCGAGTGGTGCCCACCCTCCCCTCTCCCTGCCCCGGCTGGGTCCCCACACTCTCTAGGTAGAGCCCGGCTGTAGGGGGCCAGGGAGCTCAGGGCAGGCCTGGGACCGGCGCAGGAGACCTGCCAGCTGGACACGGCCCAGCCAGGTCACACGTGGGGCTCTGAGGGCCTCCTGTCCCCAGACTATGGGATCCAAGACACCATGTACCTCCCTGAAGGGCCGGGTCCTGAGAAGCCCTCTGCTTCCCGGGCCTGCAGAGGACGAGGGCCTGATGTGGGAATGGGTCCGGGTACCCGTGTATGTACGTGTTTTAAATTACAGCGTTAAGAGGTGTGACCAGGCACCAGACGGCCATGCTCTAGTTTGCCCTTGTCTGCTCCTCGCCCTCTGATAGCCCAGCTCCTCCAAGCTCTCCGGGGCCACGGTGTCGTGGGACTGGGAAACTGAGTTTTGGTAAACTGTGTGTTTGAGGGGGGCTGGCAGTTCTGCCCCTCAGAACCACTACGTAGGACAACTGAATGCAACCCAGCTGCATGTGAGGAAAAGAGGGGGGTGCTAGGAAAAGGATGACTAGCCCCCCAGCCCAAATCAGCCCCTCCCCACACCCCGCAGACGATCCCCATGAGAAAGCAGAGCCTGCAGACAGGAGTCCGTCGGAAGGTATTATTAGTCACTTACACCTGAGAGTAAACGGGTTCACCGGGTCTTCCTGAGAACAGCGAGGGGCCAGGGCACAGAACGGCACTGGGGTCTGCTGGGCAGTGCGGGGCGGGCAAGCGGGCGGCAGCGGGCTGTGGGCAGTGCGGCTGCCCCGGAGCCGGGGCTCAGCCAGCGGGGACCCACCCCACAGGGAGCGGGGAGAGCTGGGCCCCAGCTGGGAGCACACTGGACAAGTGGCCCTGGAGTCCCTGAGGGCGGCGCACCGACCCCAGAGTGAGCAGAAAACAGGAGGCGTCCCAGGCCAGGACGCCGAGGCCCCCGGGGGCTGACATGAGCTGGTGCGGCACTGGGGCTGATGTGGGTCCGGGCTCTGCTGTGCCTGCCTGGGACAGAGGCAGGGCCCACCCGTCCCTGAGGCTGCAGGGACGGGACTGCGGGGGGTCTCCCAGATGGACGGTCCGGCCCAGGTCTGAGGCAGAGAGGGATCAGGGTGGTGTGAGGCGGGGGACACGGCTGCAGGAGGTGGGCCTGGCTGGAGGGAGGGCTCTGGGCACAGAGCGGGCAGGCTGGTCACACCTGTGGGACAGAGGTCTATTCGGTCAAGGGGTGGAGGAGGGCTCTGGACAGCAAGGCATTCCCTTGTCCAAGCCCCACACCCGCACTGGGCCACAGGCCGCCCTCAGTGGGGCGGGAGGGGGTGGGGCTCCCTTCGGGGCTTCCCACCTCCGGGCTGGTGCGCAAGGGCCTGAGAGCAGGACCAGGAGCATTCTGGGTGCGTGGGCAGGGCCACCGCAGGCCAACTGGTGTGTGCCAGTGTGCGTGGGAATGTGCAGATGTGTGCAGGAATGTGCGGACACGGGTAGGCCTGTGCTGGCGTGGGGGAGGCGTGGGGTGGGCGTGGGGCACCTCCCAGGCAGCCTGTCTCCCCTGCCCTCACCTCGGCATCCAGGGATGAGTTTGCTTTCTTCTTCCCTGGGATCCGCTGGGCGGCTGCCGACTCTCTCTGCACCTCCTGGGTGGGGGAGTCAGGTTGGGGACCAGGGGCTAAGGCCAACTGCAGAGGGGCTTGGGACCCTCAGCCCCGCCCCCTTCCTGGGAGGGAGGACCCCAGGCCCACCCTCCCCTCTGCTGCCCCACACCCTCCCCCCCACCCCCCACCTGCAGGGCTCAGCGCAGCCATTCCCACTCCCACTCTCCCCTCCCACACACCCCTCACTCTCGGGCCCCTCTGACCCGCTCTGCCCCACCACGAGGGACCCGCCCGCAGTCAGAGGCCCCAGGCAAGGACTGGGTACCTGGGGGTCCTCCTCTGAGGACTCCTGGGTCCTGCTGATCCACAGATTAAGCCTTGACGTCACAACCCCGGAGAGCTTCAGGTTCTCCTGAAAATTGGGGTTCCCATCAGGGCCCAGGGCCACTGGCACAGCCACGCAGACATGGAGGCCACCACCCCATCCCCAGGGGCTGTGGGCCCTTGGGCTCAGGACATAGTGGTGCCTGCATCAGCAGCAGGTGCTGCCAGAATGGGCCCGTGAAAGCTCGGCACTTCCCAGCTGCACCAGGGCCACGGCTCTGGGTCCTGAGACCTCAGACCTCCTGAGGCTGAGCCCCCCTCACCTTCCGGCCGGAGGCCAGCTCCGCTCGTCCTGGGCCTGCCAGCTCCTTCTCAAAGAGGTGGCGCTTGCTGGCCACCCCCACGGGCGCCACGAAGAACTCAGTGCGGGAAGAGCCCAGAGCCTTGATGGATTCCGACCTCTGGGGGTGAGAGCACAGATGCTGACCCTGGGGCGGGTGGGGGGCAGACGCACCAGCACCCCCACACCCCCACACACTGGCAGGGGCCACCGCTCTACCCACCTGGATGGCTGACTGGTATCTCTCCAGCTTCTCGCCCAACTTCACCGGGAGCCTCACGCTGGCACTGCGGCACAGAAGGACCAGGTAAGTGCCCGCCCCCAGGGAGACGGGCTGTGTCCCTCCTCCATCATTGGCTGAGGCCACCAGGACTTGACCCAGGGAGAGTCTACGGACCCCAGGATGGTCCCTACCACCTTGCACCCTGGAAACAGCCCATCCGACAGGATCAGAACCTGCCATCCTCAGCAGGCCTGTTACTCCTACCCACACTCGTCCCCCGAATCTCCTCCTCATCCACCCCCCAATGCACTCACCCCCCAGCCCTGCCTGCCACCCAAACTCTCTCCTCGCCCGAATCCCATCCTGTCCTTCCAGCTCAAACCCTCAGGCCCCAGAACAGGGACCAAACCCCAGGCCCAGCCAACAAGGCTCCCAGGGTCTGGGCCCTCCCCACCCCCAACCCAGCCTCCCTCAGCCTCCTTCTCCACATGCTTCCGTGCCCCCAACCAGACATGTGATGCCCATCACACTCGGTTTCCGAAGGCTGCCCCCGCCAGTTAAGATGCACCCCCACTTCCCCTGTGGACCGCATGACTCCCGCTCGGGTGCCAGCTGCCCTGCTGGATGCTCCCCGGCCCCACAGGCCCACGGGGCGCTCTCGAGGCTCAATCATGACATGAGCCACTCCCATCTCTGTACCCCGCGCCCCACCTGGGCCGGCCTAAGGCAGCAGGCCTTGGTGACCGTCCAGGGCAGATGGCCGTTCCCACACGCCAACGGCTTTCCAGTCCTAATCTCAGGCCCGTTCTTTGTTTTCGGGACACAGTCTTCACGACACTCCCCTCCACGTGAGCACTAACCATGCAGGTTCCCGGGCCCCCGCCCCCTCCTCTGCCTTCTCAGCCGCACCCAAGCCCTCATCCTCCACCTCGCTCCCCCTGATGTGCCCTGCCCAGGGCCTCTCCGAGGGCCTCAGCCTGTCCCCGCTCTGTGAATCCAGGTACCCTGCTGGCCGTGGAACCCTGGGCCCTCCCCACAGCAGCCAGGCTCAGCAAACACCAGCCGAACATGAGACTATGACCAGATGGGACAGGCAGCACATCCGGCCCCTGACCTGCGGGTTAGGGTTGTTTCCGAGCTGTGTGTCCTGGGGCTCATCTGAAACAAGAGAGAAAGGCCCCGATGAGTCAGGGGTCCCCGGGGAGGCCGTGGCCCCCTCAGAGGAAGGCTCAGCAGAAATTCCTCCTTGCACCTCCCACCTCTCCACTGCTCAACCCCCAACCAAGCCCCCATGGAAGGCCCCCCACCTGTCTGGGAAATACTTGTCCCCACCGACCAGCCTGGGTCAAAAGCCTCTCCTGCGGTACCTGCAACACCTCCTGTCTTGTCTGCCCCCCATCACCCATGGCACCTGTCAGGGCCTCTAGCCTCCACCCCAGATCCCCCCACAAAACACAGTAAAAAATGAGTGAATGACCCAGGGAGCAAAAGAACTGAGATTAAACACTGGAGTGAGCAAGGAGAATGTCCTCAGGGCAGGACATCGGTACTTCTGGGGCTCAGCAGAGCCCTGGCTGCCTCTGCCCTCTCAGGTAGGACCAGAAGTGGTGAAGGCAGGTGTGTGGCCTAGCGAGCACCACGCCAGCATCTCCATCAGCATCCCCTCCAGCATCCCTCCAACATCCTCTCCAGCGTCCCCTCCAGCATCTCTCCAGCATCCCACCAGCTTCCCCACCAGCTTCCCCTCCAGCATCCCCATCAGCATCCTCACCATGCTCCATCCTCCTGCAGCCCTGGCTCTCACCACCAGGGGGCGCTGCTCTCGTGTCTCCACACCCACCTTCAAGTCACTAAGTGGCCCTCCTCTCCTAACTCAGCCTCCTCTGCTTTGGCCCCCAGGGGAAACCAAACACCCCTCTGTCCAGACAGTCATCCTGATGTCTGACCCAAGGCCCCTGTGCTGTGGCAGACACTGCGGCCCCAGGCTGCCCTCCAGGAGACAGACAAAGGGGCCCTGGGCTCTCACCCGGAAGGAGATGGTCCTGGGGCTGGAGCGCTGGAGGGAGCTGCTGTAGGTGGCCCTGGGGGAGGAGGACATGCCCTCCTCTTCCTCCTTCCTAGGAATTCTCACCTGGATGGAGGGGGAGGGTATCACAGGCAGCCCTGAGCCCAGCTGCCACAGGGACACCAGGTGACCAGGCCCACCCCAGGAGCTTCAGGAGGAGGGGAGGGCGGGGTAAGAAGGCCCTGGGCCCGCCTCTGCTGTGGGAATGGCAGACACAGCAGCTCTGTGGAGCCAGACGGCCAGGCAGAGTGCCAGGGGGACTTCCAGCAGGACCCAGAGTCTGGGGACCGAACCCCTTCTAGCACCGGCAGCCTGCGCCCCCACCATGGTGCTCCCTGTTCTGACAGTGAGTGGGGAGCAGACAGGGAGAGAGGACACAGCCAGAGTCGGCCTGCAGGTGGGAGACGGGAGACGGCGCGGGAGCCACAGACACCTGGGCAGGACCGGGTGGGGGTGGGGGGGTGCGGCACTGCCAACCTTGAGAGTGATGGGCGGGAGGCTGGCAGTCCTGGGCGGAGGGTGGCGTGTCCCTGGCTCTGCTGAGGACAGCTGGTTCTTCCCAGGGAGGGTAGTGGCTTTCTGGCTTCCCCCAGCCGCTGGCTGCTCCTGAGCCTGAAGCTGCACCTGGGCCTGGGGCTCCTCCCTGGGCTGGGGCTGCTCCTGAGCCTGAGGCTGCTCCTCAGGCTGAGGCTTCTCCCAAGGCTTAGGCTGTTCCCGAGGCTGGGGCTTCTCCTGAGGCTTGGGCTGCTCCTCAGGCTGAGGCTTCTCCCGAGGCTTAGGCCGTTCCCGAGGCTGGGGCTTCTCCTGAGGCTTGGGCTGCTCCTCAGGCTGAGGCTTCTCCCGAGGCTTAGGCTGCTCCCCAGGCTGGGGCTTCTCCTGAGGCTTGGGCTGCTCCCCAGGCTGGGGCTTCTCCTGAGGCTTGGGCTGCTCCTCAGGCTGAGGCTTCTCCCGAGGCTTAGGCTGTTCCCCAGGCTGGGGCTTCTCCTGAGGCTTGGGCTGCTCCCCAGGCTGGGGCTTCTCCTGAGGCTTGGGCTGTTCCCCAGGCTGGGGCTGCTTTGAGCCAGAGACTCTCCTCGGCACCAGCTTCGTCTCTGAGGTCGAGGACTTCTCAAACAGCAATGTTTTCTCAGACACCAGACTCCTTTCCGAACTTGACGTCTTCCTTGAGATCGGCAGCTTCTCAGAAATGCCTGTTTTTTCTAGAACTGTTTTTTTTTTCTCTGACAGCGATGTGCTCTCAGAGCAGGAAGCTGCCTGTGAACTTGGCCTCTTCTCCAGAGCTGCCACCTCCTCTGGAATGGAGGGCTTCTTCTCCCAGCCTGGGGACCCCTCCGAGACCCCCTTCTGCCCGCCTCCTGGCTCTCTGCCCACCAGGCTCTCCTCCTCCTGGGCCCAGGGGCCCCGCTGCTCCCGACTCAGTCTGCGGCGAGGTGGCGGCCCCACCTCCTTCTTGGGCATGGGGGACTGCTGCTCGGCCTGCCCAGGCCCTGACCTGTCCCTTCCTTCCTCCGCCTCCAGCCGCTCCCGGACGGGGGCCTGTGAAACCTCCACCAGCTGTCGCCTCTGTCTCCGCTCCTGCCGGGTCCTAGGGATGGCCTGGATTTCCTCCTTCTCCCCTCGGGGGCCTGGGGATGGTGGCTTGGGTCCCCCTGCTTCTTCCACACTCGGCAGTCTGAGCCAGAAGGCAGGAGACAGAGTCAGAGGACATCGGAGCGGGGAGAGACCCTGGGCCTGTTTGGGGGCAGGTGAGACTCACCTCATGGGAGAGCCCAGAACAGTCCCGGCCGCTCAGTGAACCCTGGCTAGGCCAGTCCCACATGCCCCCTTAGCAGGGAGTTAGGGAGCGTCCGGGACTGGGGCGCAGCCTGCTTTAATGGGAAAAGTGGGGCCCCAAGCCTGGCAGGTCAAACGGAAATCAGGCCCTGCCACTCCCAGTGTGTGACGGCAGCACGACACCTGTGTACACTCTGACTCAGTTTCTCCACCTGTAAACAGGTTAGTGGGTCCTCTCTGGGGGAGATATTGTGAGGCCTGAGCGAGTGATGTCCCTCAAAGGCCCAGCAAAGCTCCGCCTCCCACACGGAATGGAAAGATCCCAGCAGTTGGAGTTGGGAAGTGAGGGGGCCGGGCAGGTCCAGGAGGGCCTGGGGATGGCGGGGCAGGTGACAGTCCTCTCTATGCCCTGAGCCACACCCCCTGGGCAAGCCAGACGCCACACTGAGTCATCACCAGGGAGAGGACGCAACACCTGGCCCCCACCCCGATTTCGCACCTGACCGAGGAGGGCCGGCCTCTGTCCTGGGCGAGACGGGTGGCCTCATCCTCCTCCGTGGTGGAACTGAGGTTCCGGTGGCGGCGCCGGCGCTCCCGCCGCTGCTCCTCCTCATCCTCCAGGCTCCACTGCTGGGCCAGGCTGTGGTGGGGGTGGGGTTAGAGGTCATCGAGGCCCCAGAACCCAGACCTGGCCAGCCGCCTCTAGGTGTCGCCCTCTGCAGGTGGCCACTGGCACTGAACCCTGCACCATCAGGCCAAATACGTACAGTGTGGGGAGGACGATTCTGACACCTCAGAAATAATTCTGTGCGTGCGTCACATGTTGAAGTGATAGTTTGGATTAAGTCCAGTATAGTATTAAAATTAAAATCGCCTGTTTCTTTTTACTTTTTTAATGGGTCAACCAGGAAATTTTAAATTTTAAATATGGCTCATATTCTACATCTATTAAGCGTCTCTTATATTTCCGTGAGAGCTGCAGGGTTTGGACCGAGTTTCTGGGCCGCAGCCCCACTGAGTGGTGGCAGGCTGGCTCCCTGGGCGAGGCCGCCCTGAATAGCAGCGCCGCGCCCCCACCCACAGGCCGCCTGTGGAGTCCCCACCCCTCGGCTGTGACAATCAGAACTGTTCTCCAACACTGCTGGGTGTCCCCAGGGAGAGAGAGCACCCCCACTGAGACCTATGGGGTCGGCCTTGACCGTGGCCCCACAGTGAGACTGTGCCTGGGAAGTTGGGGGGGCAGGAGAAATCGACTAGCACCCCCTTCTTTCTGGTCCTGGGTTCGCTGGACAGTGACAGGGACATCATCCAGCTTTTCAGAGGAGGGACTCGTGAAGAAGAATGCCTGATCCCGAAAAAGCTCCCCATGTCACCGTCCCTTCACTTCCCAGGCTCTCTGGGGTCTCCTTCACCTGTAGAACCAGCTCTGACCTGCTCTGGAGCGAGGAGACCCTGCCCACCCTTTACTGTACAGACGTCCTCACAGCCACCCAGCCCTGCCCCAGCAGCTTCCTCCAGCCATGACCCACCCACCACCTGCCAATCCAACACCCCCATCTGACCCCATTCCCCGCCCACGCACCCACCAGCCACCACCCACTGGATCCACCTGCCCTTCCATCCCGACCAGAGCACACACTCCCCGTACCAGCTCCGCATCAGGATTGTGGGGTTCACCCAGTGAGGCAGGGTCCCCGCCCCGGACACACCACCCCTCCAACCAGAGCACAGAAATTGCCCTGCAGAGGAAAAGAGCGGGCACTGCAGGCTGTCAGGGGGGCTCAGGGCGGGGACAGGCAGCCCTCCCACTTCAGGGGCATCTCTGCTCCCTCCGTGGAGATGGGGGGCTCCAGGCAGGGCCCCAGGGCCTTGGCCATGGAAGGAGGACAAGATCGCCGTGGCTTCCACATGACCCTGTGAGCTCTGCATGTCATTCACTCATTCATTCATTCACCACCACAAATGAATGAGGGTCTCTCAGGGACCGGGCCCCTCAGCTTCCCTTGTACCAACTTGGAAACGCCAACGCCAGTCTGACCGTGTCCCCAGCTCACTCCCTCTCTGGGCCCTCCCCTGCTGCTAGTCCACAGTTTGGGATCGGCAGGTGGCCTGCGAAGCTGAGGGCTCTGCCCTTCGGGGAGAGTGACCCACCGAGGGGAAGCTTCGGCCCCTGACTGTTATGGGAACCCCCACCACGTGAAAGGCCAACTCAGGGCTGAGGAAGGGGCTCACTGGACCTCGAGGGGCAGGCCGATCCCTGCTGGAGGGACATGGCGGGGGCAAGGTCCTGACTGCGGTGCCGCCACCCTGCCTGGCCCTGGCCTGGGCGTTTCACTGCCTGGTCGACCTCAGCCCTTGCCTCAGCCCTTGGGGGGAGGCAGTCTGGTCTCCGTTTGCAGATAAGGACTCGGAGGCCCGCAGCAGGTACGACCCTTCTCCAGACCACCCAGTGAATAAAGAGGGGCCAAGACTGCACCCCAGGACAGCCTCTCAAAGCTAAACACCCAAAAAGGGCCACCTTCCTGGAGCTGGCAGCGGTGGGGAGGAAGGAGCGGCGTGGAGGGTGTGGGATTCCCACCCAGGACGGGCTGGGCCTGAGGACGGCCCAGGAGAGCAGGGCTGGGGAAACCCCGTGGCCAAAGCACTGACCTTTTGGGCTCCGGAGCCAGGCCCAGGGTGGAGCCCGTGGGTCCCGGCGTCCGGGGCATCCCAACCACCCTCCCCAGCTGATGGCCTCTCCCTCCCTGTGGACAACCCTCTGCTCTGCCTCCACCTCCTTTGGGGGCACGCAGTGCCGTCTGCCTCCCTGTGGGGCTGCAATCCCCAGCTGCTCTGGTTAAGGGGGGCAGGTGTGAAGGCTTCCCCAGCCCTGAGTGTCCCAGGACTTGGGGAGCACGACCTGCCAACCTCGGAGGACAGACCAGACAGGGGGACACAGGCCTGGACTGAGGCCCAGCCCCACTGGCTGTATGACCTTGGGCCAGTCCTCAGCCCCTGAGAGTTCCACACAAGGAGGGTCACCTGGGTGGTCCCTGAGGTCTCTCCTGGCCCTGGTGGTCCAGGAAAGGTGTGAGGGAGGCCGAGGGCACCTTGAGGGGGTGGCTGCTTGAGGCCCGGGCAGGAAAATGATTAACCACGGGCTGCTCAGGGCAGGAATTCTCAGATCCACCTTCACCCCCCGCAAACAGGCCCAGCCCGGCCCCGCCCGCGGCCTGGCCAGCCCAGGGAGGAAAGGACGGGGCCACTGGCCAGGGCGCCCAGCCAGCCAGCCGGGCCTGCGCTGCCCCTGATTCAGAGCTGGGGCATCAGAACTCACACCCCATGCCGAGGGTGGGCTGCAGGCTGGCCCTCCGATCCCCGCAGTCCTCCCAGCCCGATGGGCTGGCAGTGACTCACAACCCTCTCCCTTCTGCCGCCAGGCATGCTCACCAGGGAGTGGCCCTCCACTCCCGGCGCCTCATCGGGGCCCCTGGACACCAATGGGAATGGAGCCACACCCCTACTTCAGAGCAGGGGGCACTCGCAGACCAGACCCCGGGCCCACCTGAAAGTTGCAGTGCCCGGGACAGGCACACATCCCACACACAGGCAGGCGGGCGCTCGGACAGCGTCCCCTGCCTCCGAGCGGACAGCTCCGGGGGCAGCAGGTCTGCCGTTCCCGCCCCGCCCGCTAGCGGGCTGAGGTCTTCATCAACCCGCAGACAGGCCCTCCTCCGACACCCGAGACCCCGGTGCAGTGGCCACCTGGGGGCCTGGGGCCCTCACAGACGGGAGCCACAGGCCATAAGCACACCCGTGCACACATCCGAGGGCACAGGCACACCCACAGGCGGCCCCGGGCCCGCCGACCCACACACAGAGTCCAAGGCCCCGACTCGGCCCCGCCCGCAGTGCCTGCCTCCCCTGGGGTGTGTCCGGCCTCCCCGGCAGCCTGGGTTCCTCTCCATTCCTGGGGCTTCGCTTCCCCCTGAATACCGGAGGGTCCCTCTGTGCTTCACAGCAGCGGGGCCTGGACCCTGCCCGGGGAAATGAGTCACTGGGGGAAGCTGAGTGAGGCCCTGGAGGGGCTGTGGACGCCCCTCACCAAGAAGGAGGGGAGACAGGGACCCCAGGGACCCCCTAACGGGGAAGGCTGGGGGAGCAGCACCTGCAATACCCCAGTGACTGCCTGGGAGGGGCCAGAGGCCAGCTTCTACCAGCCAGAGCCCGTGGGCAGGGGGAACCAGGGGCCTGGGTGGGAGTTATATGGGCCTCAGTTTCCTTGGGGGGCAAGATGTGCGTGTGGCAGGTCCTCGGGGCTAAGAAGATGAAGGTGCTCGTAGGAGAATTTATGGGTGGAGGTGTGGGGGGCTCCAGGACAAGCCCCCCTTCTCTGGCCCTTACAGGATGTCCAGCAGGCAGGGGACAAGACACCCAGTCCCCAGACCCTTTGGGGCCCCACCCAGTCCCAGTCCCTTTGGGGCCCCACTAAATAAGATACACTCAGAGAGGGACAGCGTCTCTCCTGAGGTCACCCAGCCCGGGCAGTGACCAGAAGGCCACCCTCAGACCTGAGACTCACCCTCTGCTCCTCACCGAGAGGGGCTGAGGGGCACCCCCTGCCCCAGCGCCAATGGCAGGGAGACAGACTTCCCTGTGCCAAGGAGTCGGCCACATTTGACCAATCCCCCGGGGTGGGGGTGGGGGGCTGGGGGGTCTACGGGACCGGCCCTCCGCAGCCACCCTGTGTGTGTTCTCAACCCAGGAGGGGAGGAAAGGAAGCCGGGGCAGCGGGAACACCAGCCTGCCCCCCGAGGGTCCCCCAGTTTGCTCCCAGTGCTGTCCCCTGAGGGTCCCCAGACGGGACTCCCACAAGGGCACAGCTGCACGATCCCCGCCACCCGGCTCACCTGGACAGGGCCGACCAGTCCTTCCTACCGGACATGCTGCCGCCGAAACCGCGCGCTCCGCGGGGCCGTCTCACCTGCGCACCCCTCCCCCGCCGCCGGCCCAGGTAAATCACCTGGGCTTATATCCCCCGCCCGCACCGCGGCGCGCGCTGATTTGCCGCCGGGAGCGGCCTCGGGGTGTGGGCTCCCGGATCGCCGCCCTCGTCCCCGCCCCAGCCCCGGTGCGCTGGACAGACGGCCGCTCGGACCGCGGGAGCGACGCCGGGGCGGCGCGGAGCGAGCGCAGCCAGCTTCCTGCTCAGAACCAGTCTGACCAGCTCCGCGCGGGGCGCCTCCTCCCGCAGGTGTCGCGGCCCAGGGTGCCGGGCGGGGGGCGGGACCGTAGATCGGGGTCAGGCTGAGCTCACTGCCGGGAACGACTTCGCCCGAGAACCCCAGGGCAGGAAGCCGGGGCGGGAACCGGGCGCAGGTACCGTAATCTCCGGTGGAGAGCGCACTGCGGGTCCCGGGCTGCACCCCCCCCCCAGCGCCCCCCAACCCCGCCCCGGCTGTGCGCGCGGCCCAGGCCAGCAACAGGCCCTGGCCCAGCCTGGGCCCTGCCCCTCCGGAAACGCGATGCTTAGATTCAGTTCAGCGAGATCCGAGCGCCCTCGGGGCTGACAGAGGGAACAGGTCCCCAGCGCTGTTCCCGGGCTCTGGTGATGGACTTTGGGCTGGAGGGGCAGGCGAGCCACAGGCCAGAGGAGGCTTTGATTTCCCCAGAAGGAAGATGTGGACACGGGTAACTGATTCCGGGGCAACTCGAGGCCACTGGGGCACCATCAGCTCCTGCCCATCCGGGTGGGTGGGTGCAGGGGCTTCCGGCGCAGGGCTAAGCCTGGCGAGCGTAGCTCTCCCACGGGTCAGAGCCGCAAGGCACCAGAAGCCTCCGCGCCCGGGCGCTCCAGTGCCCGGACCCGGACCTGGGGGCATCTGCTGGCACCCCTCCAGCCCGGCCTGCCTGCGGCACTGACCCAGGGCGGAGGGCCCTAGATCTCCCAGAGGAGGCCCAACGACTAGTGAGCAGAAGTCTGAAACACACGCAGCACCCGCCGCTATGGCACTTCCCTCTCCAAACGCTGCCTCCTCCGGGGAGCCTTCCTTCTAGGCACAGGAAGCAAAGCTGGGGGGTCCAGGACTGAGGCCTGGCCTGGCTTGGAGCTCAGATTCGGCCATGTGCGAACCAGGCGACATCACCCGCTTCCTCACTGGGGTCATGGAAGTCAGACCTTGCCCTGCCTGCTTCATGGCAGTGGGGGGGGGGGTGTCAAGTGAGTGATAGCTGAGCATCAGTGTCACTGGGTGATCAGTGCGACAGGGGACAAGGCCCCGGAAAGCCCTGTGCAGAGGCGGAGGTGAGGCCATGAGCCTGTTTCCAGGGGAGGGGAAGAGGGGTCGGCAGCAACCTGGGTGCCTGGGCCCCGGGCCCTGCAGGGAGCCCCTGTCTCCCGGGCACCTGGGCAATGGGCACCCCCTGGTGTCAGCGTTGGCACCCCAACTCAGAAAGAAAAACTCTCCAGGCACCTGGAGTCCGGCCCTTCCCGGGACACCTCCTGAGGCCAGGGGACCGTCACGTATCGCAGGGTCCAAGTCGGACACGCTCCCTTCGGACATAAAAGCCCACGCGTGCACAGCAGCCGTGCAACGACACGCACAAGTCGTGTGCGTATTCCCAGCCGCCTCTGCCCAGCGCTGTCCCTGCAGCAGGCCCTCCGCCGGTGGGCACCGAGCGCTGCCGGCTCGAGGTCCATTTCTAGCAGCGGACATCCGGAAACCATCCCCGCGTCTCGCCACAGGAAACGGGGGAGCGAACAGTGGCGGCTCGGTCCTTTCTCCACAGAGAAAGCGACCTGCAGGTAAATGTGCCCCCCGGGGGGCACGGCCGCAACCCAAACACTCGCGGGCACGAAGCAGAAAGCGAGCGTGTCCGTGGGGGTGACGAGAAGACGGGAGTGGCCGGCTGTTGTGCAGGAGTTTACACACACGCACCGACATCACACGGGGGAGATGCTGACGGACTCACACGCGTGTGGACAGTGCTCTGCTTCCTGGGAGGGGGAGGGTCATGAGGGCGCCAGGCCCGGGGGTCCCAGGCAGGTGAGACAGCCTGGTCTCCAGGCGTGAGACGCTCCCTTTGGCCTTCTCTCCACTGTGCGTCCATTAAACACTCATCAGTGTGCGCTGCTCACTTCCTCTGGGGGAAGTCCCAGGTCAAGGCCACAGTCCCTAAGACTTCTGGTCAGCGGTGGGAAGGGGCCCAGTCTCTGCTGCCAGAATGGGCGTCAGGCTCCGGAATCCCCCACCCCCATCTTCAAAGGGCAGCTTCTCCTTCCCCAAAGAGGCCAGCATGGGGACCCCGGGGAATCCCTGTCCCCACACCAGCTGGGCTGGAAGTCACACCTGAGTCCCCAGCCCTCACACACACATGCACACACAGAGCCTGAGCTCCCCCGAGCTCACAGCCCCTGCCCTGGCGCCCAGGTACAGCCACACTCTCCCCCTGGACAGGAGCACAGGGCCAGATCACCCAGCCAGAGCGAGAAGCAGGTGTTGGCACTGGAAGGGGGCACGTGCTGGGAGGCCCAAGGGTCCGAGAACCTGCGTCTCAGTCCCACTTTAGGTCAGTGACCTTGAGCAAGACACGGTCCCTCTCGGGGCCTCCAGGCCTCAACTGCCCGGCTCTGCAGCCGGGGCCACAGAGCTCGCACTGCTCTGCCTCAGCGGGGCCCACGGGCCAGCCCAGGAGGGTGTCCTGGGAGGCAGAGAGTGCCCTGAGCCCAGTGCAGGGCCCGCAGGTGGCAGGCTCCGGGGCTTTTTGAGGGGAGAGCCCTGCTGGGTCGGGAGGGGGCTACAGCCTGTGTTGGCCCCAGCAGCCTGGCCTGGTCACCGGCCCGGAACGGAACTGCCCTCCTGGCGGTCCCGCCCAGAGTCTGCGGGGAGTCTGTCTCACTTCGCAGGGGGCCGATGGGGCTAATGTTTAACTGGCGTCCTCCTTGGCGGAGCACTTCAGCCCGGGCATCCTTGAGCGCTGGGCTCGCTGCGAGGCGGGCTGCAGACAGGCAGGTGGTTCTCGGGGCAGGGGCTGCCGCTGGCCACCTGAGGCTTAGACAGCCGGGTGGTGGCAGGTGGCACCCCACCCTGGACATTCCCACGAAGCATCCCCAGGCCCCTCTCCAGCTATAGAGGGGGTCCTCACCACTGTGGTGTGTGGGTTTGCCATGGTCACCCCCCCAAGGAGCCCCCACCCCCTCACCCTGCCTCACATCTGATGCTGTTTGCACACGTCCCTTTGGATGGACTACTGGACCTCGCCGGGCACAGGTGGGGGGCCCCAACCCCCAGCCACAACCCCATGGGAAATGGCTGGCCAGGCTCTGTGGATGCAAATCTGTCCCCAGAATAGGGTGATCCCCAGGGCCGGGTGACCTGATTCCAGGTCCCAGTCTGTGGCCACCAACCCTGTCACTGAGGGTGGCTGACTGAAACTCCTCACACCTACGTCTCCTCCCCATCAGTCTGAGGCCACTGCACCCCCTCAGGGTTTGTGGGTGCCTGTGACTCGGGTACAGCCTGCAACATCCCATCTATTGTGATTGAAACAGTGACCCAACGGTGGACCGGACACCCAGCCGCCCGGGGCAAGTTCTGGCCCTCAGTCCACTGCCTGAGTGCCATGGGGGCATGCCCCGCTCTGTGCCTCGGGGACCCGTCCGTGCAATGGTGGGTGGCCCAGTGCCTTTCTCCGAGGGGGGCGGAGAGGGCTGAATGAGTCCAGTGTCAGGTGGACCCAGCGTGTGGGGGAAAGGGACTGATGTCGCTTGGTGGGGGCCCAGCTCTGCCCCTGCATCCGTCCCACTGCTGCTGGCCCTCCCTGGTGGCTGCAGTGGGTTTGGGACCCCTTCCCCCCCACCACTGGCCCCCTGCGTGGCTGCAGCTCAAGTCCCAGCGCCTCCCTGACTTGCTCCCGACCCAAGAGACCTGTGGGCCTTCCCCAAAGAGCCCTCGCCTTGGGTGTGTGCGGCGGCCCCGCCTCCTCCGCCCACGGCCAGGTGTTTGTTTTGAGTCAGGCCTGGGGCTGCTCTCGGGTCTGGTAGAGCAGGGTGGGGACCCCAAATGCCAGGGCCCCAGCTTACTGGTGAACCAGAACTGAGATTTGGCTTTGAGACCTGGGCCCGGCTCCCCCGAGGGGCTACCAAAGGCAAAGCAGGCAGACCAAGCGAGGCCCCGGGCCAGCCGGGAGGGGCCTTGGCAGGCAGGGGAGGCTCTGTGGCCTCCTGGCCACGTACCCCAACCCCTTCCTCTGAGGCAGGAAGGCCCCAAAGTCCTCCAGCTGAGTGTGAGTGAGTGTGTGGGTGTCCCCCAGGTCACGGTCACTGGGTGTGGTAGCAATGGCATCTCTGCACACCCATCTGCCTCCGTGCCGCGGAGCTGTCTGCGGCAGGGACCCAGCACCTATCTGCCTCCCCTGGCCAGTGCCACTGCCGGTCCCTCGCTGGCTGGTGCTGAGCAGCCCTGGGTGCCCCAGCAAGTAGCTGGCACTGCACTTTGCACCCGGCATTTATGGCAGACAATATGCTGGGGGCAGGGGACAGAGGGCAGAGAGGACACACAGGTGGTGGCTGGGCCCCCTCCTGCCCTGGGAGCAGAAGGCCAGGGGGCCCAGGTCAGGGCCAGACACTTGCCCTGAGGGCTGAGCTCCACGTGTCCAGCACACGCACTGGGGGGGTGGGAGGAGGCTGCCCCAGTCCCACTGGCCTCCCCAGGCTGGTGCTGTTGCTGGGCTTTGGGCCCTGATGTCGGGGGATGGAGGAAGCACCTGACCCACAGGACAGACTGCAATGGCCCACCCCAGGGGCGGGGTGGGGACCTTTCCAGGACCTTGGAGGAAATAACTGGGACCAGGGTGGATGCAGCTGAGGAAGCCCCAGGATGGATGGGAAGGCGCCACCTGGTGGCCACCTGGGCAGCAGCCCTGTGCCTGGGGGACGGGGCGGGGCCTGAGAGCCCCACGATGGCTGCACCCAAGACAGCATGGACTGTCCATCAGCAGTGGGAGAGGGTCCGTGCTGCAGAGGAAGGGGTGGTGGGCTCAGGCCACATGGGCTCCGGGTGCCCAGGCCGCTCTCCGTGGCTGGAGTCAGAGGCTGGGGGGCGGAGGGGCCAGGCCTGTTTCCAGGTCAGGGTGGGGGTGGGGGTGGGGAGGTGGGGCTGATTTCCAGGTCAGGGTGGGGTGAGCCATGTGGATTCCTTAGGCCTCATTTGGACCAGGCTGCTCGCTGGCAGGGGCAGGGGCACCAAGCCCTCTCGTCACAGACTCCCCGAGACACTGGTGACACTGGGCTTTTAATGGAGAGGCCACCGAGCCTGTGGCCACTCTGCAGGTCAGAGCAGCGAAGATGGAGGGGCACTGGGCTGAGGTGAGGTCTTCAGAAACAGCGGTTCTTCTCTGTGTGTCCTCTGGTCCCAGTTCCAGGGGACAGAAATGTCACTCAGGCTGGTGGGGGAGGGGCAGTGGGGGCTGGGGGAGGGGGAGAGACCTGCAGAGGAAGGACCACACAGGGGTCCAGAGCCAGTGCAGCCCAGGCCTGTAGGGGCGAGAGGCGGCCATCAGTCTGGGGACCTGTGTGCATCTGATGGGTCCCTGACCCACCCGTTGTGCCTGTGACCCCGGGGTTTCATACTCCAGTGCGCCCTGGGCTGACCCAGCGCCCACAGCAGCTCCCCCAGAGCCTCCCCTGGTGAGACCAGGGCCCACCCCAGCCCCTCACTGCGGCTCCACAAGGGGCTCCCGGGGCCTGGGCCCTGCTGCCTCCCCTGCTGGGTGTTCACGCCCCTGCCTTCCTGCACCTTGGCCTCTGACCCCGCCCACACTTCCCGCAGCCCCGCCCCTCACCCAGCCTGGCTCCCAGAGGGTGGCCTGGGGCCTCATTAGCTGCTCTGTCCAGTTTCCACTGAGGGGGGAGTCAACTCCACACAGAGCCCCACCCCAGTGTGGGCAGGGCCTGGGGCACAGGACCCCTGGCAGACTCCCTGGAGCTCAGACTCCCTGAAAGTGGGAGCCCAAGGGCCCTGGCTCAGAACCCCCAGGAGGGCCCCCGGGTTTCCTTCTGTGGCTCCAGCTGGTGCCCACACAACTGGTCCAGAACCACAGGTCTGATGCACCTACAGTCACAGGTGAGGGGAGCACCTAGCGGGGACCCGACCAGGGTCTCAGGGTGCTGAGCCAGGACAGAGCCACGAGGCCTCATTGCTCTGCTCGCCCTTCGCCAAGCCGTCTGCTCCACCAGCCTCGTCCCGGTTCACTGTCCCCCTCCGACACCACTGGCCAAGAGAAGTAGGAACCTGACCGCAGGTACCTCTAAGGTGAGGTGGGAGTCTTGGCAGCATCGAACATCTTCTTCCGGCCCTCCATGCCAGACATGGCCTCCACGTTCTTCCTCCAGTCTCTTACCTCCACGGGCCGCTCCTGTGGGCAGACCCCAGGCTCAGAGACTGGCCACGCCCCCCGGCTGACCCTCCACAGGGGACAAGTGGTTTCCAGCCTGTGCTCACCCAAGACCACGGCCCAGCCTCACCTCCGGGCCCTGCACCCCCTCCTGCTCCCTCTCAGCAGCCCAAGGCCCCCTCCTCTAAGAAGCCTCGCCCTGCTAATTGGGCTCCTTTCCCGGTGCATCAGCGCCCCACCCGCCAGGGCCCTGTGGGGGAGGCAGGTGAAGCCCGAAGGGTACCAGGCCCTGAGGCCACACCTTCTCGGAGTCCTCCTTTTTCACCGACTTCAGGTTGGCCCTCAGGTCCATGGAAACCTTGTGCTTGGAGCCCAGCAGGGCGCGCAGCATGGCGTCGGCAGAGACGCGGACCCTGCGCAGGGGCGGGCGCTTAAACTTCCCACGGAGGTCCTGCACAGTCAGCTTGAGGTCCTTAATCTGCGGGGGAAGGGGCCAGAGCTCACTGGGGAGGGGGTGAGTAGGAGGGGCCAGTCCTGCCAGACAGTGGAGTACCTGGCCTCAGGAGGAATTCTGCTCACACTCTGTCTGCCAGCTCAGCCCTGTGAGGCCCAGGTGAGGGGCTCCAGGGGACCACCACATCTTGCTGAAGGGACACCCCAGACCCCAAGGAAGGAGCGGGACCCGGTACACAGCTGCACGTCCGCACCCGTCTCCCCCGCCAAGTGGCCGAAGCCTCACCTCCCTGGTGTTGTGCGCACACTTGGCCTCAATGTCGTATCTCTCCTCGTCCACCGTCTCTGCCTTGGCGTGCAGCTCCCGGCACAGGTCCTGGGGGGAGTGGGAGGAGTGGGGGGAGTGGGGGGGCGGGGCCTCCTGCCCTGCCTCCCTGCCTGGTGCCCAGGGCGCCCCAGCCCCTCTGCCCTGGCCTTGTCCCGACAGGAGCCCCTTCCCTCTGAGGCTCAGGATGCCCACAGCTCCGCAAGGAAGCCTGTGTCCCCCTCTGACCCCCGGCTTCCTCCTAAACACTTTCTTACAGTGAAAATAACATCAGCTGCCTGGGGAAGTTTGAGGGCTATGTATCAAGTAAAAGTGACTGGCGATGCCACCCTGGGAGGGGACCATGGGTCACATGTCCCTCCACATCCTCCTCTGCAGCTGCTGTGACCAGTGTGTGGCCGACATGACAGCCCCTCTGGAGGTGGGGACCATATCTCCTGGAGAGGCAGGGCTCCCGAAGTCCTGCCACCTCCCCCCTCAGCACCACCCACGTCATCCGCCTCTGCCCACCCCGTCTGCATGGGGCACTGTCTCGCCCAGTGGGACGCCTCTGTTCCTGCCCCTGCAGGTACAATGGGCTCTAACGCCGCCACGTTCAGGGCGACTGAACAAGGAAAAGCTGCTCTCGGATTGCAGAGCCAGGAGCCCTGTGAGGTGACAAGCCTGCCACCTGGTCCCAGGCATCTCCCAGCTCCGCCCCCAGCTGCCAGGCTCACCTGCAGGGCACTGAGGGACAGGCCTCGGGTCTCCAACTTGGGGACCCGCTCGGACAGATAGCGGGACTTCTCTGCCTCACGCTCCTCCTGTTCCTGGTCCCAGCACTCCTTGGCCTTGGCCAGCATCAGGCTCTGGGTGGGACGGGGCTGGTCAGCCAGGCTGGGCCCGGGCTCCTCCCCAGTGCCAGGCCTCAGGGGAAGGTGGTGCCCCCGCTAGGCTGGCTGGGGCCTCGGGGAGCTGTGTGGGCTCCCTGGTCTCACACTCTGGGAGCCTGGGACCAGGACGGGCACTAGGCGTGGCAGTGTGTGAGTGGGCCAGTGAGCACAGACACCGTGTGACCACACAGGAACTGGGGTCCCAGGGCCTGATTTTCCTCCCAGGCTCCTTCTACCCAAGTCTGTCCACTCTGCCCACAGGCTCCAAAGAGAGACTCTTATCAAAATGAAGACAGTCTCTCCGCCCCTCCCTGGCCTCCCCCCGGCCACTGCTCATGCCACCTCTGAGGACCTGCATCCCAAGGACCACCTCTGAACCTGGCTGCAAGCTCACCTTCAGCTGGAGTTTGCGGGATGCAGAGATCTTGGATTTTCTCTGCAGGTGAGAAGGGGAGGGCAGGTGAGGCTGAGGCTGCAGAACCAGGACTCTGTCTTCCCCAGAATCCTGGCCTGAGGGTCCCTTCCAAGCCCCCCACTGTAACTGGGCCACAACTCCCACATTCAGAGAGGGCGGTGGCGGCAGCTCCCTGGACCCAGAGGCCAAGCTGTCACTCTGATCAGCTCTGTGGGGGCTGGACCCCTGCCAGGCACTGGGGTCACGTGGTCTCTGGGGCACTGCCCTGCTCATCCATGGGTCAGGGAGCTGAGGCCCCAACTTAGTCCCGATCATCACAGGCCAACAGCCACAGGGAGGGGCTATGGGTGCTGACACCCGATGCCTGGGCTGGACAGGCTCTCAGAGTGGGTCACCCAGGGCCCCTGCTGCTGAGGGTGCAGGACAAGGACAGGGTGCAGAGTCACAGCCAGCTCTGCTGCCCTCACAGCCCCAGGGTCACCTTCCTGTGACCCTGTGCACTGGGAACCCCTCCCCAGACCCTAGTAGCCCGTGGTCCAGAATCTTCACCAACAGTGTCTATTGTGGGAATTTGCCGAGCTGCCCCAGGTCGGGACCCCATCTCTCTCTCCTTTCCCCCAGGGTCCAGCCCACCTCCACCATCCCAAGTCTTAACCCAGACAGAGACCCCACACTGACTCACCTCGCTTCAGGCATCCGTCCCAGGAGGATGACCAGGGAGAGAGCAGAAGGCAGACAGGGCATGTCACTCCCACAGACGTGTCCCACGGGTGGGCAGCTCGTGCGGGGGGGTGAGGTGACATCAGGGCCCAGGAAGACCCCAGCCTCAGGGAGGGGACCAGTTCAGGGTCCCCGCAGAAGACAATTAACCCTCAGCCCTCTGGCCTTCCCATGCCAGGGGGGCGGGGCGGAAATCAGGGGAGCCTGGACTGGGGGCCTGGCAGCTAGAAGAATCATCCCTGGGTGGCCGGTGTGGCCCTAGGCATCTTCCATCCAAGGGGCCAGTGACAGTGACAGCCTGGTGCATGGGACTCATTGGATCAGAGCAGACAGACAGAGGCCAGAACAGGCCAGAAATGTCCTCCCCAAACAGCCTGAGGGCTTGAGTTCTGCTCAAAGGTGAGGAGGAATTTGGGGACAGGGGGGACCCTGGCACTGGGGACTGTTTCTGTTTTAATATCCAGCCTCTGGGGAAGAGTTTGGAGGGTGAGCTGATGAAGCCCAGGTCGGACTGAATTCTGATGGGGGGGTGGTGGTGGAAGTACTTACACTTCAGGCATGGTGGCGGCGGGGCAGCACCTGGGGGCACAGAGGACTCCTTAGTGGGGGGACTTACAGGCCAGCACCCCAACCCTGCCGGGAGAGAGAGCCCGACCCCAGGAAGAAATGCAGAATGGGTTCCAGTGGGTGGCCTGGGGTGGGGCCTGTGCATGTCTCCAGGGGGCCGTTCCCACTCCTCACAGAGTTTAATTGTCACCCGGATACATGAGAGGGGCGAGGGGAGACCTTGGTGGGGTCTGAGCCAGCAGGAGGCGGGCAGACCTGTGTCTACCCTGGTCTTCATCCTGACTGTGCCCAGGCCAGTTGGCCTCTCTGCAAAACCAGGGGCTGGAGAAGTTCATTTTCATTCCACATTACCTCTTGAACCCTTGTCTGACTCAAATGTTCCTCATGAGCTAGGTGAAATCCATCCTTGACAGTGGACGGCTCTGTTCCCAGGGGTCACCATGGGAGCCCAGGGTCCTCCAGGGGAGCCCCGGCCTGGCAGACAGTTGAAAGCCCCTGACCAGGGCATCCTGGGCCCCTTTACCCTGACAAGCTGGGGTCCGGGCCGAGTAGGGGACCTTGAGGCTGCTGAGGGGGTGTTGTGGACCAGGCCTGATCACTGGAGGGGTGATGTTGTGCAAAAGTCAGGGGAGAGAGGGGCCAGCTGGGGACAGTGCCGTGCAGGCAGGCCAGAGAGGGGCAGGGAGGGAAGGGGGGACCAGCGTTTCTGGGGAAGGAGCTCGGGCCCAGGACTTTGGATTTGGTCCAAGGAGCTGGTCTGGATCCGGGACAGCAGCATCCAGAGGACACCTGGGAAGTGGCCCCTGTCTCTGCCTGGGGCCTGTCCTCTCCTTTGTCCTGTGAACCACCTCCCCCCCCTCCATGAGGGGGGCTGGGCCATGACTCCTGAGTCCCCTTCCATCTGGGACCCTCTGGCCCCAGCCCCGCCTCTGCTTGGCGTGGGGGTAGGGGGTGGGGGTGCATCCTGGGGGGTGGGGGTGACCCCGAAGCCTCAGCTGTCACTCTGGGCACAGGGGGGAGGTGGGCGCCAAATACCACCCATTCCCGAGATGCTTGGCTGAAATCAGATTCCAGCGCCAGCTGTTGGCTCTGGACTCTGCTTCTCCAGAGACTCTGAGAAAGTCCTAAAGGAGCCTCTGGCTGGGGCAGAGCCACCCAAGGCCTGTCTGCCCCTCGTCCTGCCCTCAGAGTTCCAGTCCCGGTGCCGGGCCTCAGCAGTGGGTCTCCTGTCTCCTTCCCGAACACCCCTCCCCCTGGGTGGGCACCCGGTGGGGCTCACGCCTGTGCAGAGGCCCCTGTCACCAGGGTGGGGCCCAGCTGCCCAGCCCCCTCCAGCCCAGGCCTCCTGCCAGCTCCAGGGCCTGCCCCAGTGACAAATGCCAGGCCAGGGTCCCCAACCCGGGCTGTGACACTCAGCAGACAGGACCCCCTGACAGGCCCCGGGGAAGACAGGCAGGGCCCCGATAAGGAGTCAGCATGCAGATGGCAGCCAGTGAGAGGTGGGAGGCCAGCATTCCTTGTCCCCACAGCGGCCTGCAGGAGACAGTCGGGACACCCACAGGCCGGGGGTAGGGGTCCAGTGTGGGACTCGGAGCAGGGCACACGGCTCCCTGAGGCTGGGGGCCGGGCCTGAGACTGTGGGACTGAGTGTGTGAGGGTGAGTGTGCACATGGCTGTGTGTGCCGGGGAAGGACCGGTCTGCTTGCACAGCTGGAGTGAGGACACGCATTTCAAGTGAGTCTCCTATCCTTCTCCCTGGTCCCCACCCCTGTCCTTGGACCCAGTTCAAGGGCATCTGGTCCACCGTGACTGGCCATGCCGAGTGTTGCACCTCAAGCCCCATCTCAGGACTGCGGGGGGCCGCCTCCCAACCTGGGGCAGGCGCTGCTCCCGGCCCCCAGTGAGGACAGAGGCCCCGCCCCGCCCCAGCCACGCAGTCCTCACGGAGGCGGTTCCTGTGCAGGCTCTCAGGCTGCTGCCCGGATGGCAGAGCCACCTGCCCCCACTGCCCAGGGCTTAGCAGTCTGCCCCGTGGACAGACGGGCAGGGGAGGTCAGCCATCCCTCGGAGACAAAGAAGACAAAGGGGCAAACGAGGTGGGTCCACGCTCAGCGGCCCCCAGTCTCCAGTCTGGACAGGCCCCTTCCTTCTCTGCTGGGGCACTGCTCACTGTCACTGCCCACCAGGCGCCTCCTGAACTTCTCCATGGAGCCTGTGCCCCCAACCCCATCCCCAGGGCTGCCCCTCCCCTCGGTGCCCTCTCCCTTCGTTCTCCCCACACCCCTGCCCAGGTGTGGGGTTGAGCTCTGGGACTGCAGACACTCACCGGGGGCGGTGTGGGTCCGGGAGCTGGGATGGCTCGTCCCCCAGTCGCAGGTGGACTGCGGGGCAGCTTCTAGGGGAGGCTTTGAGGGCTGCGGCCCACAGTCACTGGCCGGTAAAAATAGAACAGACCTGCTGACCCTCCCACCGCCCCCTCCCACCCTCACTCCGGAGCCAACACCACACAGGCTCACACACAGCTGGCCCATGGGTGGCAGACACGTGTGGGGGCTCAGAGGACACCCAGGTCCTGTGTACACAGAGGTCACCTCTGAGTGACCCCCAGTGAGCCAGGAGCCAATGAAGAGAGAAAACGGCCAGGCCGAGCCTAGGGGGCTGCAGCCATGTGGGGGCCACAGGGAGTCCTGGGGCTGCAGGGCTTGGGGGGACTGTCTCCATGACTGGACACTTGTGGCATGGAAGGAAAATGGAACACCAGGACCCCAGTCCACATGTTCTGGGGACTCCTGTGGTCTCAACGTGAGACTCCAGCAGGTGTCCAGGGCTGAGCTGGCCTGGCCGCCGCCACCCACCAGCGTCTGAGGGTCAACAGGCACCCTGCACCCCGGCCACATGCATCCTTAGGAATCCAGGCTTCCTGGGGACCAAGGGGCGCCCGCACCCCAGGCCTGGACCTCAGTGAGACTGTGTCCCCTCTCCCACAGCACTTGTCGCCAGCCACTTGTCGACAGGTCTGCACCTGTTTGTGGGGTATTTTTAGGATGGTTGAAGAACACATAATACCCACCCAATAGTCAGAGAAAGACAATGCCGGCTATGTTAATCCTGTGGCTATTATTGTCGGGCATCTCCTGGTGCTGAACCCAGGCTGGGACAGGACAAATGGGACACTGGCCCCTATTGGGAGCCCAGGAGAGGCCTGGCCAGTAGATGGATGAAAAAGAGCTACACCAGGCCCTTATTGGTGGGGGAAACCTGGTGGATGGTGTCTAAGGAGATGTACCCAGAGAGTTCAGGAAAGGGTAAGGCCCTGCCCTCCTCTCTGGTGAGGACAGGAAGTGGTAAGGGCAAGTTGTGTGGTCCCTCCAGCATCCCACCTGCATCCCACCTGCATGCCCTCCAGCATCCCCTCCAGCATCTTCCCCAGCATCCTCACCAGAATCCCCACCAGCATCCCTCCAGCATCCCCTCCTGCATCACCACCAGCATCCCACAAGCATCTCTCCAACATCTCCACCAGCATTCCACCTGCATCCCCTCCAGCATCCCCCCAGCATCTCCTCCAGCATCTTCCCCAGCATCCCTCCAGCATCCCCTTCAGCATCCTCACCAGATTCCCCACCTGCATCCCCACCAGCATCCATCCCGTCCCCTCCAGCACCCCCCCCAGCATCCTCACCAGATTCCCCACCTGCATCCCCACCAGCATCCATCCAGCATCCCCTCCAGCATCCCCTCCAGCATCCCCAACAGCATCCCACCTACATGCCCTCCAGCATCCCTCCAGCATCTCCCCCAGCATCTCCCCCAGCATCCCTCCAGCATCCCCTTCAGCATCCCCACCAGGAATTTCCCCAGCATCCCCTTCAGCATCCTCACCAGAATCCCCACCAGCATCCCTCCAGCATCCCCTCCAGCATCAACACCAGCATCCCCTCCAGCATCTTCCCCAGCATCCCTCCAGCATCCCCTTCAGCATCCTCACCAGAATCCTCACCTGCATCCCCTCCAGCATCCCCATCAGCATCCTCACCATGCTCCATCCTCCTGCAGCCCTGGCTCTCACCACCAGGGGGCGCTGCTCTCGTGTGTCCACACCCACCTTCAAGTCACTAAGTGGCCCTCCTCTCCTAACTCAGCCTCCTCTGCTTTGGCCCCCAGGGGAAACCAAACACCCCTCTGTCCAGACAGTCATCCTGACGTCTGACCCAAGGCCCCTGTGCTGTGGCAGACACTGCGGCCCCAGGATGCCCTCCAGGAGACAGACAAAGGGGCCCTGGGCTCTCACCCGGAAGGAGATGGTCCTGGGGCTGGAGCGCTGGAGAGAGCTGCTGTAGGTGGCCTTGGGGGAGGAGGACATGCCCTCCTCTTCCTCCTTCCTAGGAATTTTCACCTGGATGGAGGAGGAGGGTATCACAGGCAGC